TAAGGAGATGCAAAGGCCTGGCGATAGTAGCGAAATTCGGAACAAACCTCCGGTAATATGAGGCGAACCCCAAAAACCGACGCACATCACCCACCGTGGCGGGGGTTGCCCAATCCCGGACACACGCAGTTTTCTCTGGATCCGTGGCCACCCCGTCCGCACTAACAATATGTCCCAAGTATCGAACGGAACGTTGCAGTAGATGACATTTCTTAGGCTTGAATTTCAAATTAGCAGAACGCATTCTGGCAAAAACGGCCTCCAACCGCAATAAATGCTCATCAAATGTGCGGCTGAAGACAATAATATCATCTAAATAAATGAGACATGTCTCCCACTGCAACCCCGTCAATACCAACTCCATCAATCTCTGAAAGGTGGCAGGGGCTGCATTCAACCCCATCGGCAGACAGTTAAATTGGAACAACCCCTGCGGCGTACGGAACGCTGTCTTTTCCCGCGAGGGCTCATCAAGGGGAAGCTGCCAGAAGCCCGAAGAGAGATCTAGCGTTGAAAAAAACTTAGCCCCTGACAAGGCGTCGAGAGAATCGTCCATACGCGGCAGGGGATACGCATCTGCCACCGACACTTTATTTAACTTCCGAAAATCCACACAAAATCGTAATTTACCATCTTTCTTTTTAACCAACACGACAGGCGCACCCCACGGGCTATTAGACGGAGATATAATATCCGCTTTCAACATGTCTTCCACTGCCCCTCGAACGTGCTCACGCTCAGCCGGACTCATCCGACGCGAGTTCAAGCGGATAGGGGCCGCGTCCCCCGTTTCGATGTGATGAGAGAGCAGCGAGGTGCGTCCCAAGTCCAAATCGTCCGAGCTAAACACATCGGAATAGCTCGCTAATAATTTATGAATCGCACAACGCTGCTCAGCGGAAAGGGCCGAATTTTCCGCACATAATTCGGCGATCCAACGATCGTCCACCCCTCCGTCGTGTGAAACACCACCCACCAGCCCCCCGTCCGGAATGTCACTCTGAGCCGTAAACGCCGTAGTGGCGTGTGCCACAACGGTACCAGCCGGCACACACACGCTTTCAGAAGTCGCATTTAACACCTGCAAAAACGGGCGCTGATCCGGACGGACAATGGTTTGCGCCCCCACCAGTGCCAATCCGCCCGTAACAGCGGCGGACGGCGACAGCAAAATTCCACAAGCACTCTGCCGACCCGGAACCGGCTTCCGGTATCGTAGGGGAATGAGCATCTGCGAGCCAGGTGGAATATCAACTGAAACTTCCGATAACGCCTGCACCTGGGCAACCGGAGCCGGTCGCCCCCAGGTGGACTGTAAAAACGCCAATTTGCGGCCCCCTGGCAGTTCAATGCAATTTTCATTGATTCTAATTAAAATGGGCATCTTAGCCAAAAAATCCGTGCCCAACAAGCAAGGAACCGCCAGGGACCTCGAAATTAACACAACGCCCGAGGCCGAGACCCCCCCGATAGAAATATTAGCGTCCACCTGTCCCACGATGCCCATACTACCCCCGTTCGCAGCGATGCAGGAAGCGTAAGCCGGCCTCACGGCCCCCGGTGGGATGTTCAAAAGATGGAATATGACATCCGAAATAATGGTCGCGGACGCCCCGGAATCCACCAAAATACGCACGTCCACCCCTTGGATCGACCCCGGTACAGTGGACGAACCTGTAGCGGCCGCGACAACCCGCCGAGCCAACTTACGCCACTGCGTTATCGAGCGACAAGGCGCAGATACTGGCCTCCCATATTTTAGAACATCCGCGTCGCACAACAACGGCGATGAGTGAGGTGTCAGGCCTTGCCGGGTGTCTGGTGCGCACCGACTTGCCTGTGCCGGAGGGTCTTTCTTTGGGACGTCCGCGATCGAGGCCTCCTGCTGGGGCGGCCCCGGAACCCGGGCCCAGCAGTCCCTGGCATAGTGGCCCCGACGGCCGCAGCGGAAACAGTCGACGTCGGGTCGGCGCGCAGCAGGCACCCCGTCCCGACGTGGCCGCGCCGGCGGCGGAGCCCGCGGCCCCGGCTCGCTTCGAGCCGGCCACGGAGTGGAGGCGGCCGACAGCTCCTTTGGGCCGGTCGCATCCGGCACATACACGGCCTTTGTAGGGTCCCACCCTACGGCCCCCCCATCGACGACAGGACCGCCCGTCCACGCCGTGACTTGTTTCCAGCGGCGGAGATTGAACTGGGCGTCCAAACACTTAGCCGCGGTCCGGGACGTGAGTTTCTCGTGACCGCAAGCCGGCATAGGAATGCCCAGATCCCGGGATAACTCCAACATCTTCCCCAAGATGAGAGGTTCCAGCAGGTCAGGCTCCGTCTCCGGGTAAGCGGCCATCGCGAGTTCCAGCACGGCGCCCCTGTACGCTACAGGCGACTCCTCCGGTGCGCGTTGCCGCTGCACGAAGCGGCGATGGGCGTCATCCGGTGGCTCGTACGCGTCCGCCATTTCGTCGAACACTCCACGCAATGTTTTCTTCTTCGCAGCTTTTATAGAGCGAAAAAAACGAACAGACTCATCGTCAAGGAGAGTCGGAAGCACCTCCAGCGCCTCGGCGTCCGTCCACCTTGCCGTTCGTACCGCCGCCAAAAATCGACAAGCGAACGCACTCCAATCGCCCCCGATGGAGAACTCCTTAACAGTTGTAAGGTGACGACTGCGGCTCCTTGGCCTGCTTCCGTCCGTCACCGACTCTTCCGGCGGCAAGTTCAGCAAGGCGTCGCAACGCGGTGTCGCCAAGATGGCGGACGATCTTCGTGGCGGCCCCAAGATGGCGGCTTCCCGCCTTCCGTGGTGCGCCACGCCCAAGATGGCGTCTTCACGCCGCGTGGTCGATGGCGGCGCCATCGAAGACGACCCGGGCTCCTGCCGATCACCACCATCACCTTCCAACGCCGCCCTTGGCGTGACAAGGTCACACAACTCCGTGATGACGGTTTTTAGGGTCGCCAGTTGCTCCGCCATCCGGGTCCATCTTAAATCTTCGTCCTTCAACGCAGATGGGTCGGGCGCAGCGGCAACCTCCTCCACACCCGGGCCCTCACGGATCTCTCCCTCCGCCGAAGTGAAGCCGACCTCAGGAGGAAGATCGTCGTCGTCCGATGATGAAGCCGACGCCGGAGATGGGATATTCTTCTTCCTCAGTTGTTTCGCCATGCCGTTTCACTTCTGACTCCAGTGTAATAAAAGGACTCGAACACTTCTTTCTGTCTTCGTGTCTTTATTCAGGTTCACGTCTTTACCCACACGGCACTCTGTTATAACTCCTGTATTTGTAGCCCCCGGCTATTCACTGCTATTATAGCTTCCTCACCCCTCTGACTCTCTGCTTCATCTACTGTAACCTCCTCCCTGCAGACTTGCTGCTACCCCTATGTGCAGACCCTCTGGCTGTCACTGGATGCAGACCCGCTGCCCACTCTCTCTGTGCAGCCCCGCTGCTGACTGCAGCCTCCTTGCTGCTTCGGGTCGGTCACCGCTGGCCAACGGTGCCGATCCTCGCTTCCCCCGTGTTCGTGGCGATCTCGCCACCCCCGCTTCGCCCTACGTGGCCTTCCTCTGTTCCTGGCTCCCAGTCACTCTCCCTGCTCTTCCGGTTCCCCTCCTTCTATACTCAACCCCTCTCCCCCCACGTGACCTAACTCCTCCCCCCCTGACGGCACCTCAGAAGGGCCGTTTACAACCGCATTACAGTAGTACTGTTCACATACCTGCATTTCCCATATCCCCTCCCTTTGATGCTGCTAATCCTGCATAATGCACGGGCATAAGTAGTACTAATCACATACCTGCATTTCCCATATCCCTTCCCTTTGATGCTGCTAATCCTGCATAAAGCACGGGCATAAGTAGTACTAATCACATACCTGCATTTCCCATAAATATGCTAAATTCCTCTTGATATGCATATTCTTTTGTCAAGGCGCCCTTTCCCCCCCTTCCAACCTAGCTTATATATATATATGCTCCAAGCACTGTGCTGTTTCATTCAAACACTGTCGCCTCGACAGACCTGGTTTTCACCTGATGACGGCTGCTTGCGTTGTAGCCGAAACGTCGTGAGAATTGTTTTATTATGTTTTATTTTTATTATTTTATTACTTCCCTTCTACGTGACTTTACCGAAAGAACCAAGAAGACTTGGAGAATATCTGCAAAGAGGAGTGGGACAAAATCCCTCCTGAGATGTGTGCAGACCTGGTGGCCAACTACAAGAAACGTCTGACCTCTGTGATTGCCAACAAAGATTTTGCCACCAAGTACTGTCATGTTTTGCAGAGGGGTCAAATACTTATTTCCCTCATTAAAATGCAAATCAAGTTATAACATTTTTGACATGCGTTTTTCTGGATTTTGTTGTTGTTATTCTGTCTTTCACAGTTCAAATAAACCTACCATTAAAAGTATAGACTGATCATTTCTTTGTCAGTGGGCAAACATACAAAAACAGCAGGGGATCAAATACTTTTTTCCCTCACTGTAAACCCAAATCCTATAAACCCCTAACCCTCTGAACCCCTTTACCCTAAAACCCCTTTACGCTGAAAACCCTAACCCTCTAAAACCCTAAACCTCTAAACCCTTCACCCTTTAAACCCCTATACCCCAAATAGCCTAATCCTCTAAACACCTAACCCTCTAAACCCCTTTACTCTGAAAACCCTAACCCTCTAAACCCCTAACTCTCAAATCCCCTCAACCCCTGACACTCTCAACCCCTAAACCCTATAACCCTCGAAATCCCGAAACCTCTAAACCCCTTATCCCTGAAATAACCCGAACCTCTAAACCCTTAACTTTATAAATCCCTAACCCTCTAAACCCCTAACCCTTTGTGTGGAATGTGGTGGGGGTGGGATCATGGGGTGGGTGGTGTGCAGTGGGTATCACAGGGGGGTGAATGGGTGCAGGCTGTGTGTGGTGGGTATGGTGATAGTGGTCGTGGTTCACAACGATCCGTGACCACCACCACCACCTCTACTGTGTGGTGGACCGGCCACCACACAGCAGCACGCGTCGGAGGAGTGAACGGATGGTTCTCGCTATGCGGGCCAGACTCCCTCGCTTCCTCTTCTCCTCCTGCATCACCATCACCTGATCCTCTTTCCTTGTCATCTCCTTCTCCACCATCTTCTCCACAAATGTCTCCTCCATCTGCACCACCATCTCCTCCTCCTGCTCCTTCGTCAATACCTCCTCTGTCTCCCCCCTCATCTCCTCTTCTTCCTGCACCACAAGCTCCTCCACCAGGATCTCCTCCTCCTGCACCACCAGCTCTTCCACCAGGGTCTCCTCCTCCTGCACCACCAGCTCCTCCACCAGGGTCTCCTCCTCCTGCACCAACAGCTCCTCCACCAGGGTCTCCTCCTCCTGCACCACCAGCTCCTCCACCAGGGTCTCCTCCTTCTGCCCCACCAGCTCCTCCACCAGGGTCACCATGGCGACAGCGCCGCAGCTGGCTGCAGTCCCGGATCGCTCTCACAGTTTATCAACCGTAACCACACCTCGTACCTTACCCACGTCCTTCTTCACTCACCACCACTCTTCTTACACTTTCATCTTCCATTACATTTTTCATATAATTTATTTTGTTTCATTATTTTCATTATTACTTTGGCGTCGCCCGAGTTTTGGGTGGCGGCCGATCCCTGCACCCAAACCCGCCCGCCTCCGTGTTCACTGCACACGCCTCGCGGCGCTACAACAGCCGACAAATGCCGTTTACTGCAGTGCCACACAACTCGCCTCAACTGCCGCATCGCACAGCTGTTGGGCAGTGCGAGTAAACGAGGCCTGTTGCTTCGATTCACGAAGCTGGAGGACGCTGGCTGTATTGTTCATGCGGCGCGGCTTAACATCCGCCCCGGGCACGGTTTCTACCAGCAACGTCCTCACAAGGCACCTCTTCCGGTACCATCAGCGACTGTGAGCTTGGCGTGCCCCAGCATCGCCAGCAAGTGGGAGATCTACGTGCTCCGTCCAACGTTCACCACCATCAGCGAGTGGGAACGCGAAGCAGACTGTCATCTCCTCAACACGAGAGAGTTGGCTTGCCTGCTGCCCAGCACCACCAGTGAACGGGAGCTCTGCGAGGTACGTCCATCCTGCTGCACCACCTGCGAGCTGGAGCACAGAGCGTGGTCAGCTAATCCACTGGACTTCGTGTACTTCTGGCTGCTCCATTGTACGCCCCGCCTGCGTGGTTCTGCACGCCCGTGTACGCGCTCAGCGAGTGTTTACACGGGCGTGTTTGCATCCGCTACGTACGGGGAAGTGCTTGCTGATAGCGTGGAGCTTGGACAACGACACCTCGACTTGCTGCTCAGGGCAGCTGAGCCGCTGATTGGAGTCCATCCGAATCCGGGCCCCTTCATCCGCACCATCGTTGCAGCACGGGCTGATATAATAGGGCTACGACATGCACCGTCTCTTCATCATCTGCACCTGCAACCCGCACTCCTGAGGACGCTCTCTGTCCTTGGGCTTCTCCGAGGCCAACGTCGGAGACCGCATCGGCACCGTGGTTGCAGAGGTGGCAGGGGCCGCCGTTCACAGGTCGACCTCGAACCAGCCAACTCCTCTGTTCCCTCGACGCCTCACCTGCACGGATCTTCACATCTACCTTCACATATCCGCCTCGGTCTGCTCAACGCACGCTCCATCACTAATAAATCAGCCCTGATTCATGATACCATCTCGGACCACCACATCGACCTTTTGCTCATCACTGAGACCTGGTGCAGGCAAGACTCCCCGCCAGCTATCTCTCTGGAAGTTGCGCCCCCAGGATACAAGGTTCTACATAAACCTCGCGCAACTAACCAGCGGGGTGGTGGCTTAGCGGTCGTTTACAATGCTCACTTGAAAATTAAAGAGCTCCATCTACCAATGGCTCAGGCCACATTCGAGGTCCAGTCCGTATCCCTTACTACTAACAACGAGTGCTTTTACATTATTTCCATCTATCGCCCTCCAGATGGCAGCATCAACACCTTCGTAAATGAGCTTTCGGAATTCCTATATCTGATTCCTAACCCATCTCACAGGCTCGTGCTTACAGGCGACTTCAATTGCCCCGGCAATACCCCAGCCTCCATCGATAGTCACCTTGAGTCAACTTTGGCCTGCCATAACCTGGTCATCACAAACTCAGGCCCCACCAGAGCTTCGTCAACAAACGTTGAGAGCATGCTCGACCTGGTTCTGGAACCTAACCAGCACCGACGCATCACTGCACTGGGAGTTTTCCAAACTGGTTACTCCGACCACCGCCTTATACTTTCTTCCCTCCAATTTCCGAAGCCAATCACCATCAAATTCACCCGCAACTTGCGTAATTTTAAGGGTATCGAATTTTCTGCTTTTCGTCACCTCCTTGCAAACTCGCTTTCAATGTTATCCCCATCATCGGATCCAACCGTCTGCGCTCTCCAACTAGAAGCTGACATGAGGGCGGCGCTGGACAAACTAGCTCCATTAAAATCACGAACCGCTAGGCAGTCTTCTCACGACACTCACTGGCTCTCAAGAGATGCCATCATTGCTAAGCGAACCAGGAGGCGTCTTGAACGTATCGCATCCCGCAGTGGTCTACCTGCTGATCGACTTGCTTACAGAGTCGCCTGCAGGAAAACTAACAAACTGATCCTTGTCTCACGTTCCTCCCACATTGAGGAACGCATCAAAAAAGCAACCGGAAACCCGCGCATTCTATGGAAAACTCTCAAAGATCTTCTCCATCCTGGTAGCACCATGGTCCCTCACCTTAGCGATCCCCTTGCCTCACTGAAACTTGCCACCTCTTTTAATACTTACTTCAACAACAAGCTAATCGCCGTCGCAAACTCGTGCACGTCTACTGACACATTGCACAATTGTACCCCGCTCATGGTACCTAAAATTGTAAGCACTAACCCAGACACTCTTCTAACTATGCTAAAGCCTGTGTCTACAAAAGACGTTTTCGCTTTAATTGAATCACTTCCTTTGAAGTCATCTCCACTCGACGTGCTCCCAGGTTCCTTGTTCAAGCAATGTGCTCCGGAACTCGCCATCATGATCAGGAACATCGCAAATGCCTCCTTCTCTTCGGGGTGTTTTCCGTCCAACCTCAAATCTGGCCTGGTTTCTCCCTTGTTAAAGAAACCAAATCTAGATCCGGATGACCCATCTAGTTATCGTCCCATCACTAACCTCTCGAACCTCTCTAAACTCCTTGAACGACTAGCCCTCGCCCAGCTACAACCACACGTCACCTCTTCCGCAAACTACTGCAACTTCCAGTCAGCTTACCGTCAAAACTATTCCACAGAAACAGCACTCACTAGGGTGCTCGATGACATTTTAACGATCGTTGATTCCGGCTCAACTGTTGCACTTGTAAGTCTGGACATTTCGTCAGCCTTCGACACCATCAACCATTCGCTCCTTACTTCCCTCCTGAAATCCGACTTCGGTATATGCGGCTCAGCACTCAAGTGGATAGCTTCGTACCTTTCTGACCGGCAATCCTCAGTCAGGGTGGGCATGTCCACATCGCCTGAAACAAGAGCATTATGCGGGGTTCCCCAGGGCTCTGTTCTAGGTCCCCTGCTCTTCACAGCCTACACTTCCCCGATCGGCCGACTCATTGCAAGCTTCGGTGTTAAGCATCACTCATACGCGGATGACACGATTCTATTCACCGCCATCGATTCTAGCAATGCATCTGGATTCGAGAGGCTCTCGGAATGTACCACCGCCGTGCAACAATGGTTCACTGCACACAACCTAGCCCTTAATCCGAAAAAGTCAGTGGCCATCATGTTAGGTACCAAGCAACGTCTCAATTCAGCAGCACTCCCCACACACATACACATCTTCGGTCATAGCATCAAGTTCACCAACCACTTCAGCTACCTCGGTGTCATCCTAGATTCAACTTTATCCTTCGACCGTCAAACCAACCATATCATCAGCTCATGTAACTTTCACCTGAAGGCTCTTAGACACATACGTCCTCTCATCTCTACTGAAATTGCCAACACTTTGGCATGTTGCATAGTTGGGTCTCGCCTTGACTATTGTAACTCCGTCCTTGTCCGGACCTCCGCTGGCAACCTAAGGAAGCTTCAAAGACTACAAAATAACCTAGCACGCGTCTTCATTGCCCACACTCATCCCCGCCTCGACTCACTAGCTCGTCTCCGCGCTCTCAACTGGCTCCCCATTGCCAGTAGGGTCACATACAAGACCGCCTGCCTCTGCCACAATGCCTTCATATCCGCCTGCCCGCCGTATCTTTCTTCATTACTGACGACTTGCAGCTCAGCACACGGCAGATGCCTGCGCAGCGCGACTCACGACCTCCTCTCGATACCAAGATCCAGGATGGTCATGTCTACGCGCCGCTTCTCGGTGGCAGCCCCAACAGTCTGGAACGATATCCCTCTGCACATTCGCAGCATCACCTCAATCGCCTCCTTCAAGAGACACTTAAAAACTCACCTCTACAATCATGCTTTTGAGCGACTCTGAGCTTGGCTCTGCGCCTCTGAGTTGCGGCCACTACGTCTGCAAATTTGCGCGCGTTACAAATTGTACTATTATTATTATTATTCCTGCACCACCAGCTCCTCCACCAGGGTCTCCTCCTCCTGCACCAACAGCTCCTCCACCAGGGTCTCCTCCTTCTGTACCACCAGCTCCTCCACCAGGGTCTCCTCTTCTTCCTGCACCACCAGCTCCTCCACCAGGGTCTCCTCCTCCTGCACCACCAGCTCCTCCACCAGGGTCTTCTCCTCCTGCACCAACAGCTCCTCCACCGGAGTCTCCTCTTCCTCCACAACAACCGTCAGCCATTTAGAGGCCTGGGCAAGCGCGAAGGATGGGGGCAGCGCCGGCTCCGCTCTAAAGAGATGCGCACAACACCGTTCCAACTTCCTGCTACAGCAGAGATTGCACTCCCCCCCCCCCCCCCCCCCCCCCACCATCGTGCGGAGATAGATTAACCAGGTTAATAACGATGCTGCAGTAACAGCATACCTTTGCCCATCGTGGGTCTGGTTACAAAATGGGCATTAGTCTTGCGATATCACACTGGATGAAAGGCTACATGGCAAAGATATGGCTGCTTCATTATTTGTCCTCACCTAGAAACCAATTATAAAAATACATCCGTATATAAC